TCTCTTTTCTAGCTCTGTTTTGGTTCTTTCCTCTTACCTCCTGTGATCACCTGATAGCACATATTCCTTAAAATTCACACTTGAACTTGACTTTCCTCTTTCCACTTTATTTCCTTCAGTAAACTGACCCTGTCTCAGCTTAGCAAGTTTGCTCTTGAAGCTTTGATCGGAAGCACCAATGGGACCTTTAAATAAGAAGTTTCCTTAAGCAGTTGGATTTGTGAATGTCCCTCCAAAAGAAGCAGCTGGGCTCAGGAAACACTTTTAATATAAAGATGCTTGGTAATACCATAGGAGATTCTGGTTCAGTAGGTCTGAATAGTGCCTAGGAATCTGCTACTTGGCAAAGTCCCAAACCACTGCTATGGAAGTATTATAACCAACCAGGCTACCAGATGTGCCCACCAAAGGCCAGAGTCCAACTCACCCCTAGTGACTATGTGTGCTTTCATAAATCCAGGCAGTGTCAGGTACACAACCACCCTTCCTCCCTGACCCCTCAGGAGAACAGAGCCCTTACTGAGGTGATAAATTGTGCAGTTTAGAAGCTACGTAGTTTCAGAAGAGAAGAAAAAAATGTAAAAAGCCATAGGTGATCCTGGAAAAAAACTAGTAGAACTTCTGAATTTGGAACAGTAAGGGAGTTAGTAACTAGGAAACAGTTCAATATTAGTATAAATCTATTTGGGCATTGCTTTCTTCTCCACACTCAGTTGAGGAAGTGCTAGGTAAAGAAGAACCTTCAATGAAAGGAAAAGAAGTAGGTCTTTTCAGATCATGAGATTCTGCAGATGGAGACAGTCTGGCCAGCTTGGTGACTGACACATTGGGACTGGTGAGAGGGGTTTTCTTTATGGATAGAGAGGAATGCAGCAAGGCATAAGGATACTGCCAGAGAAAACTGTGGCTGTTTATTAAATGCTGTGTAAAGACAGCCCTTAGCTCCCATTCTACTGGGACACAAAGTCTCTATGGCCAAGACCAGAACTCTGCCCAGAACCATGAATGTGCAACACTACTTCAGGCATATTGTGGGTTAAATAGTGTTCTGTGGGCTGATGGGGGAAGCTAATTCCATTGTAGAGAAAACTGTTTCAATAGTAAAAATGTCCTAAATTCCCTATAACAAATGTACAAATATATTTTGTAAGGACATATGTGTTTAAGCTTGAGGATTCCTACATATAGCACTTGGAGAAATTCGCTTACACACTAGCATGTGGCCTACAGCCATACAGCCAGAACACACACTGTTTCTAATAGCTCTCATACCCTTTGCATTCTTAGATGTTGTATTATCTTTATCTTGGTAAACTCCAAGAAAAAATATAGAAAAAGACTTACTGTGATCAATTTACCCATCACATGATGGGAATAATGAAGAGTGTTGTTAGAGGAAAAGCTTAGTCATAATTAAAGTTAGGTGCAAGTTATTCTGAGATATAAATAATATATATCTGCATCTGTTAGGCAGTCTCTCTATCTATTTGAAATGTAGTTAACTAAATTGCCCCCACTTCCCTATAATTTTTAGGCTACAGGGAAGGGTTTTATCCAATTTCCTCACCCCCACCTGCATTACATTAACGTCTCTTTTGGCCTCTCCTCTCTCCTTCATCTTTTTCTTTTTAGTCAAAAACTCTGAACCCTCACTGATAGGGTTTAGCTGTGTCCCCACTCAAATTTCATCTTGAATTGTAGTTCCCATAATCCCCATGTATCATGGGAGGGACCCAGTGGGAGGTGATTGAATCATGAGGGCAGTTACCCCCATGCTGTTCTTGTGATAGTGAGTTCTCACAAGATCTGATGGTTTTATAAGGGGCTTTTCCCCCTTTGCTCAGCGCTCACTCCATCCTGCTGTCCTGTGAAGAAGGTGCCTGCTTCTCCTTTGCCTTCCTCCATGATTGTAAGTTTCCTTAGGCCACCCCAGCAATTCAGAACTGTGAGTCAATTAAACCTCTTTCCTTTTAAATTACCCAGTCTCAGGCAGTTCTTTATAGCAGCATGAGAACAGACAAATACATTAACCTCAGAAAAAACCCAGCACATAATTTCAGGAGGTTCGTAGAGTCTCCTGTTTTCTAGTATATGTCAGGACCTCATGATTAAACATACCTGCTTTCTCATTTTCTCTCTATCCCTCCTTCTGTCTCCTCTCCCTCTTCCTTCCTTTTTCTTCCCTTCCCCTTTCTTTTCTCTTTCTCAAGCTCTTTCACATATCCACAGGTTTCACAATGAGAAGCCCTCTAAGTGCTTCTGTAGACATTATCTTATCTCGTCTTCATGTCACCCTGTGCACAATGCCATGCACCATTTTGTGAGGCTCAGTGGAAAAGTTAAGAGGAACAGGAAGCCAGCCTGGGCTCTGCCGTCATAGTTACTTGCCAGAGGAAGGGGTTCACTTTTCTTGCATAAGTTTGCCATCTCTCCTTACTAAGCCCTGTGTCCATAGGTCCTCTCTCAGATAGAGGGAGCACTTTTTCTAATTCACCAACCCAGAAGAGAAGCCATTTCCATATTTTCACAAGGGCACTGGCTAACAGAGCTGTGGCCTGCTACAGCTACTTCACCTGTAATGCAGATGTCATTTTCCACATTTTGGAGATGAGGACATTAATGTTAACTGAAGCTAAATTTCTTGCTCAAGTTCACATAATTGACAAAGACAGAAAGCGAGCTCTGTTGGGGCTGACCTTATAAATCTTGTTCTCTTCTCTACTGTTTGCACAATTCCCTCAGTATTTGTCTTGAAGGGCTAAGTTTTGTCATCCTTTCGAATCATGTTGTAACACTAAGTCTTTAGGAGACGCAAAGCCCTGCAGAAAGCAATGCTCTTTTTTTGTCCCTTCTCTCCTCTCAATTTCTTGCTCAACTCCACCCCCTCAGTATTCCTCTCTTCACTCAATAAATATGAGATGGTATCCTCTGCTTTCTAGTGCCTTGGTAGAATCAGAAGTAAAGCTATATGTACAGATGGAAAAAAGAATAAAAATAATACACAACTACATTCTAAAAAATGAGAAACTGAGTGTTTAGTTATTTCATTGAGGCTTGTCATATTTTCATAAATGCTAGAAGCAATGAGAAGTGATTAGCTATATCTAGTATTAGACATGAAAAAGGATTAAGATGTGAAGCAAGTAGTGTGGCTTAATATAAAAAGAATGAACTTTAGAATTAAGTAAACATATATTTAAATCCCAACTTGACCACTATTGAGCTTGGGCAATTGAGGCTTTTCTTCCTTATCTGTAACATGGGCATTTCAATGATAGCTATCACTTTGAGAATTTAAAAATATTGTGCCTGGTATGTTGTAGATACTCAGGAAGTATTAGTTTCCTTCTTTCATCTTTCTTTAGATTGCTAGCTCCTTAGAGCATCATGTCTTATTAATTTTTATTCTCTGCACTGATCATGTAAGATATTCAGTAAATATCCATTGAATTCATTATTATCTGCTTTACTCATACAGTTGTAAAAATTAATCCTTGGAGTTATTCCATTTGGATGCTGATATGGTTAGGCTTTGTGTCCCCCCTCAAATCTCATATTGAATTATAATCCCCATAATCTCCACGTATGAAGGGAGAGACCAGGTGGAGGTAATTGAATCATAGGGATGGTTTCCCCTACGCTGTTTGTGTAATAGTGAGTTCTCATGACATCTAACAGTTTCATACGGGGCTCTTCCCCCTTCTCTTGGTACATCTCCTTTCTGCCACATGTAAAGAATGTGCCTTGCTTCCTCTTTGTCTTCTGCCATGATTTTAAGTTTCCTGAGACCTCCCCAGCCATGCTGAACTACGAATCAATTAAACCTCTTTCCTTAATAAATCACCCAGTCTCAAGTGTGTCTTTATGTACTGTTAAAATGTACTAATACAGATGCTGTTCAGTTAGTTTAAAGCACTATGAAATGTTCTAAGTAATAATCTAAAATAATAAATCTTATCAGGTTTTTTTCCTCAGGACTCACCTGTTCCTCTGATTTCCTGTCCATCAACAGCTCTCAGAAGAGCTTTCTTATATTATCACACACTTACTACTTTTAACAGAGGCAGGATTTGTGGCAAAATCAAAATTATCTCTTTGATCGACAATGTGAAGACATGTCTAAAAGAACAACTTGTGAAACAGAATTTAAAGCTCTCATTTTGGCATTATGGTTTGACATTTGTTTGCAGTTATGTTTTTAAGTGCAATTAAGGGAATCTGGATTTGCATATATATATATATATAAGAAATTAGAATCTCATTTTCTTTAGGTCCAAGAATTTAATAGTTAAAGTTTTTAAAAGAAACACTCTTAATTGTGAATACATTCTAATTTACCTATTGTGCCAACTCCAGAAATGTTATTTTTTAAAGGTATCTGGTAAAATTTCAGGGTAGAAGGTCATAGATAGCCACACCTCCCTCTGAGATATGCAAAGCAAAGACAGCATGACATACTGCTGGCTGGCATAAGCATGAGCTAGCTTTGTCACTTGTGAATCATGTCACCTCAGATAGTGATTTATCACTCAGGTCTTCATTTCTTCTAAAACTGAGGGAGTTGTATTAATATATTTCTAAGGAATGAAAAGAAAGAATCACTACATCCCCAGAGAATAAAGCAATGCCAGACACATAGTCAGCACTCAATATTTGCTGGATGGATGGATGCATGGATGAAAATGAATTTAATTTGTATCAGACAACTGATCGTAGAATTTAAAACTGGAAAGCTCCAGTTTTTCTATCAGACCAGAAGAACTTTTGACTTGCAAACATCAGATGTAGGAATACAATGAGAACTCCTGAATTCTAGTGGTAATCTTCTTTATTAGATTCTTTGTAAAATTCAAATTTAGGATCTGAATCTGTGGTGTTTCCTATAATTTTAAAACATCAACATCTCTTGAACTGATTCTAGAAAGAGAAGTTCAATAACTAAGTAGCTATACATTTTCAGCTACTTATGACATGGAAAAATATGTACTATGCCTTTTCAATAAATATTTTATTTCTCATAATTCTTCTAAATTTCTAGCAAAAAGTTCTTGAGTCAGAGTTGGTCCTTCATAGTTTTTTTCAATACAAGATTGTTTTCTCTTTATCAATGTCCTAAGATTGTTTTATAACTTAAACAATGTATGAGCCTCCCCATGGTTGTACTGTACAAATGTGATTTTCATTTTTGGAATCTGGATTATCTTTTTCACAGATATAATCATTTCTATATACATTGCTCACTGTTCATCCCATTCTAATCAAGTACAATGAGTGCATATAACATCATATATAGTTATTCTTTCTGCTTTATCCCATTAAAGAGACTCACTAAAGGTTTCTTAGAGCCAGGAATGGAGGCGGTGCAGGGAATCAAAGAGGTATAACAGCCCTTCTCATTTCAGTAGCCATAATATCAAGCAAAATTACCACCACAGATACAAATTTATATTTTTATAACCATTTACTCAAAACACCATACACTTTGTTAGAAATGACATAAAGAATTTTATAATTCCTTGAAAATTCAGTGAATAATCATACTTCATTAACATTGTTTGCATCCTAGCCTACTATATTTTACCTGCTATAATCTACTAAACTTTTTAAGTTTTTCTTCTAAAAGGATATATTTAACATGAATTCCTTGTACTGAGTCCATCAGAGGAATGCATTTGAAATGGATTCTACTTTTATGGTATCAAAATTATAACTATATTCAAGGAGACTAAAATTTAAGCAACTCACATATTCAGTACCATCTACTTTATAGTAAAGGTAGTTTCTAATGTACTCACAGGCACTATCAGGAGGTGCTCATTTGGATTTTCTAATCAATAATACTTCTTTTCCAACAAGAAACCTAATTTAAGGAATTAAATGGATCAAATTGTTAGGCTGTCTAGACACTTCGAACAAACACTTGAGCAGACATGTTTATTCTATGATCCTGGCATTTGAAAACCAGGTGAAGTGCTACTTTATTTCCATTGACAGCTGCTCCTTAGCTTGATCAAGTTACTATCATGAGATTTTCATGTTAGTGCTGAAGTTGTATAATATCACTTACAGGAAGACCATTTTTATATTGTTCCTATAACAAATGACCACAAATTTAGTGGATTAAAATAACACAAATGTATTGTCTTATAGTTCTGGAGGTCAGAATTTCAAATGAGTTTTATAGGGCTAAAATCAAGGTGTCAGCAGGGCTGGTTCCCTCTGCACGATCCAGAGAACACACTTCCTTACATCTTCCAGCTGTTATAAGTCATCAGAATTCCTTAGCTCCTGGCCACGTGAATCCAATCTCTGCTTTCATTGTCATGTAACCTTCCTCCTGTAAGAAAACCCTAGGAATTACCCTTAGGGCCCATCCAGATAATTCAAAATAATCTCCTCCCCTCAAGAACCTTAACTTTATCACATCTACAAAGTCTTTTTTTCCATATAAGGAATCATACAGATTCAGAAATGGACATCTTTGGAGGCTATTATTCAGCCTATTACATTGTGATAAGCTAAAAGATGTCTATTATTTAGCAACCACTAAAATAAAAATAAAGAGTTATGAAGTCAACAAAGAAGATAAAATTGAATCATAAAACATGCAAAATCCAAAAGAAAACAGAAAGTAATGGGAAGAAAGAACAGATGGGAAAAATAGGAAACAAGTGACAAAATGGTAGATTTAAGCCTCACTATACCAATGATTAAATTAAATGTACATTGTCTAAATATTCTAATTAAAATGCAGAGATTATCAGATTGTGTAAGAAAGTAAGATTTAGATATATGCTTCCTGCAGTAAACATATTTTAAATATAAAGACATGAGGTCAAAAATAAGAGAATGGGAAAAGATACACCATGCTGACCCTATCAGAATGCTGGAATGGGTTTACAAAGTAGATTCAGGAGAAAAAAAAAATTACCAGAAGTAAAGAAGTTCATTTTATAATGATAAGTAGGTCAGTTTATCAGGAGGACATAAAAATTCTAAATATTTGTACATCTAATAACAGACCTTAAAAATACATGAAGCAAAAACTCTATGGAATTCCAAGAAGTAGGCAAATTTACAATTATTGTTGAAGATGTCAATAACCCCTTAGTTTCAGATAAAACAAGTAATAAACATCCTAAGAAACATAAACATCCTAATAAAAAATGAACAAAAGACTTGAATAGACACCATCAAATATATACAAGTAATAGAACAATCAGACTATAGAAAATCAAGCTATAGAAGACTTGAACATTGTAATCAATTAACGTAATGGACATTTATACAACATTTCACCTAACAACAGCAGAATACATTTTCCCCTTATGGTTATAGAGATTATTCACTGCAATAGACCATATAGTTGGGACATGAAATAAAACCAAAGAAATTTTTAGAGGATTTGAATAATACAAAGTACTGTATGTTCTCTGGTCACAGTGTAATTAACTTAGAAATCAAATGCAGAAAATTATGTGGACACTCCCCTAAATATTTGTAAATTATATAACAAATTAGAAAGCATTTTGAACTAAATGAAAATGAAAACATCAAAATTTATGGGATGTCACCAAGGGAAAACGTAGGGACAAATATCTCTGTGAGAAAAAGAAGAAAGGTTTCAGCTTCCACTTTAGGAAATTTGAAAAAGAAGCAAGGAAAAAAATTTCAAGATAGGCAGAAGAAAGTAAAAAAAAAAATCGAGCAGTGATCAATGGAAAAGAAAAACAATAGACAATATTTGTTTCTTTGAGATCAATAAAATCAGTAAACCTCAAGGTAGACTAATCAGGAATAAAAGAGGTAAGTCAGAAATTACCAATATCAGAAATAAGAGGGATGACACTACTACAGATCCCTTAGGTAGTAAAATGATAATAGAGAAATATTATGAACAGCTTTATGCCATTAATTTTGACAACTCTGATGAAACGGACAAAATTTTTTTAAGCAAACTACCAAAGCTCCTGAAGAAGAAATAGATAACATGAATAGCCCTATATCTTTTAAAGAAATTGATTTGTCATTTAAAATCTTCTCACAAAGAAAACTTCCAGCCCAGAATATTTTACTGGTGAATTTTACCAAGCATTTAAGGAAAAAATAATGCTATTTCTACCCAAACTTTTCCTGAAAATTGAGTGAGAAAGAATACTTCCCAACTTCATTTATGAAGCCAATATTACTCTGCTAACAAAACCTGACACAGACATAACAAGAAAGTTAGCAGACCAACATTCCTAAGGAACATTGATACAAAAATTCTAAAAAAATTTAGCAATTTGAAGGGGCTAAAATCAAGGTAACATCTAAAAAGGAAGTAAATCATGAATAAGTGGAGTTTATCATAAGAGTATAGGATTAGTTTAACATCAAAAAATCAATGACATTCCACAGATAAAAGAGAAATTCAACCTCATCAAAATTAAAGACTTCTTCTTCAAAAGATACTTTAAAAGAATGAAAATAAAAACCACAGACTGGAATAATATATTTGCAAAGGATCTATATAATTAAGGAGTTTTTCTGTAATATACAAAGAGATTTACAAGCTCAGTTATGTGAAAAACATCCTAATAAAAAAAATGAACAAAAGACTTGAATAGATACCACCAAATATGTACAGATGACCAATAAAATAAGCACATAAAATGATGTTCAGTATCATTACTCATTAGGGAAATGCAAACTAAAACCACAATGAGATACTACTATACATGTTTTAGAATATATAAAAATTTAAAATCAGGAAACATCAAGTATTGACAAAGATATGGAGGAACTGGAACTCTTAAAATCTTCTGGTGGTCATGCCAAATAGTACAACTTATTAGAAAAACAGTTTGGAGTTTCTTTAAAAGTTAAATATATACCTACCTTGTTACCCAGTAATTTCATGCCTATAGATTTACCCAAAATAAATGAAACTATATGTCAATACAAAAACTTGTACATAGATATTGATAGCAGCTTAATTAGTAATAGCCAAAATATATGCAACAACCTAAGTGTTCACCAACAGATGAATGGATGAACAGATTGCAGTTTATCTGTACAGTGGAATACTACTCAGCAATAAAAATGAATGAACTATTGGTAAGATACAACCTGGATGAATCTAAAATAATTATGCTGAGTAAAAAATGCCAGACCAAAAAAAGAATATATTGTGTGATTTCTTATGTAGAGATATGTAGATATATTCTGAAAATGCAGACTAATCTATACTGACAGAAAACAAACCATTGATTGCATGGAGGAGAGCAGCAAGAATGATGGATTACAAAGAGGCAACCCCCTCAACCACCTAACAACATCTACAGACCATAAGGAGGTCGAGAAAGCTACTTGTGTCCCAAAGGGCAAAACATCTAAGAGCTTCTCCAGATGAGGCCAAGCCAGATAATGAAAAAGAGGCACATTTCAGAGAGGAAAGCTAGGAAGTATGGCAAAAATTGAACTTAGAAATTACTGCCAGTAAAAAGAATCATAGTCCAAGCAAGAAATGTTCCCCTCCTTTAGGGTAAGGTTCCTGTGGGATTTCAGAGTTGTGATGGAGTCCATTGGTGCCAGTCAGATGACTTACAGTGCACCTCCCAGTGAGAGGACTATGCTATCCACACCTGATTGCTATCAGACTTGGTCAGTTGGTTTGTTCTTGCCATTGAAATGTGAGAGAAGTAATATATACCAATTCCAAGCAGAAGCTTTAAGAGATTCTTATATTTTGGCTTTTTCTTGCCACAGTAACAGCATTCTCAAATAAAAGTTGCTCCCTGTGCTATATCGTGGTACAAAATGTGGAGCAAGGAAGCAGATAACACATATTAAAAGAAAAAAAATGGTATTGTAAGCCACTGAGAGTACATGCATGTTCAATTTAAGATGTTTCTAAAATAAAATAAAACAGGTGGAGAGTTGAATACATGAATCAGATACTCAGGAACAGGTCTTAACTAGATACAAAATTTGGGAGTTGTCAGCAGCTAGGTTGCATTAGAAGATGAGTCTGCAAAGGACACAGGAGTCACCAGATATTTGGAAGAAAGCCCTGAGTAAAATTTTAATGCAATCTCACTTTTGCTTTCCTCATTATTTATTTCTTTTGCTTCACTTCCATTTCTCTAGCCTAGAGACTAATGTGCAAGCATCAGAGCCTGCTGGGTCTGCCTCACACTTTATTAATTTGCTGGATTTTCAGCACAGTTTGAACAGTGACTCTCCCTTCCTAATTCACCTCTCTATGTCCAGAGGGGACAGTAAACCCCATCACATGGGAGAGAGACCTACAACTCACCTGCATATTCCTTCACCTTGGTTTTTACCTTGAATTTCCTTTCTTCCACATACACATTCTACTCTGGCTATATCAATAATTGTTTTTTTTATAAATTTTCAGTAGATACATTGAAGATTTATATAGGTATCAAATATATAGAGCTATAATACAATGAATATCTGCTTGTCAACCACTCAGTTTAGGAAAAAGAACTTTACAATTATCTTTGAAGTTTTCTTGTGCTTCTCCCCAATTCCATCTCATTTTCTCCTTCCTCAGAGATAACCACCAGACTGCGTTTTGTGGTTCTCAGTAAATGAAGAATAGAAGGAAACTTCCTCAAACTGATAAAGAGCATCTACAAAAAACTACCGATAATATCTGTTGTGTCCATGCTTCTCTCTGTAATTTTATCAAGCATGTTTGTATTCCTAAAAAAAAGTTACATTTTGCATGTATTTTTATCTTCATATAAATAAAGTTATTCAATATGTATTATTCTAATGTGTTCCTTGTGCTCAATATTATGTTCCTGGGATTTGTTTATGACATTTGATATAGCTGAGGATTATTCATTTCTTCATCTATATTGTATGCTAAGGTATATCACAATTTATCTATTCTGCTTTAGCCTTATTCCATTAGTTTTGATAGGTAGTATTTAGTAATTTCATTATTGTTCAGGTCTAAGTATATTTAAATACCAATTGTGATTTTTGACTCATGAGCTATTCAAAAACACACTTAAATTTGTTTTAAATACCTGAAGCTATTTATCTTTTGTTACTAACATTTCTCTGTTTTCATGGAATATACATTATCATAGTCTGTTTTGTAGGAGTATAACATAAAGCACATATGTAACTTTAAAATGCTTAGTTGCCACATTAAAGACTAAAAATAAACAAGTGAAATTAATTTTAATAATTTATTTAACCCAAACTATCCAAACTATTATCATTTAAATGTGTAATTGTCTTAAAATGTTATCATGGGTATTTTAGGTTTTTTGTACTAAATTTTAAAATTGGTATGTATTCTACATTAACAGTACA